ACTTCATATTTAGACAAAAAGCACTTCTCGTTATGAAAGAAAATAACCAGATTTCTCAAAAAGTACAAATACAATATATCGCAGTCATTTAGTGTTTATATTGTTTGTCAAACTTTTTGTTTCCTGGCTCTATTTTAACCCAGACAAGAAAGAACACAAAACCATGAAAGCAAAAATTGATAATTTCCTAAGGTATTTTTTATTGGGCAAAAAAGGTTTTGGATTGTTTTGAAATGTTTTGATTACTTACTTTTTAATATTTGTTAAAACAAAAACAACAAGAAATAGGTTTTGTAATACCTTGTTGGATAATGCTGGTATTTTTAAATTGGAGTTTAAGTTTAGCACGAAGTGGCTAGCTCTAATCCAGTCTCTAATCCAGTCTGCAAAACCAGTGGTGGATAGTCCAAGTCCTACCCAGTATGAGTGACTGATCTAGAACAATACACATTGTATTATACACATTTCTTCTTTTTCCAAGCCTCCAACAATTCCCAAAGTGCCCTAACAATTCATTCATGTGACTAAAAGATTCCAGAGCTGAGTGGCGGCATTTCCCGAAACTTCCACCAACAGGGCGAACATCTCCTCCCAGGAGGACAAATTTGGACTCACCCCTTCAGACAATCTGGCCGTCTTGTTTAGAAGGCTGTCACCCTGCTTTTCATCCAGGGGAAGGAAAATTTGAGCTTAACATGAACACATCTTTAATCACGTGTCAGGATTAATTATTGTTCCTCGGAAAAGCGGCAGCAGCTTTTTAAAATAAGGTTTTCCTAAGGAGAGATGCGTGAAAAGTCCAGAGTCAAAGCACACATGTCTGGAAGGAGTCCTGCTCCCAGACTTGATCTTAATTGCTAATTTTATGTGTTGTCTGCAGTATTCCGGGCAGAGTAGTGACAGTTCAAAGAGCAGTTGCTCATTTTATTACTGGCATGCATTGCATTTTTTCACCACGAACGAACAATTGGTCATTTTCATGAGAACTTCTTAAAAATGGAGAACCTTCGTTGCAGCACAGCATTGCTGCGGGAGGTTTCTGCCTGGTTCCGTCTCTGTTCTGTCACATTGAGAAAACTCTAAAACTATTTTTCGCATGCAATAATATGTTACAGCTCACTAATTCTATGTGATGTCTTTAATGATGTTTATCAGTGACAGTAAAAAAAAATGGCCTGTGGGATTATTTATACAGTAGGACACATTCACACTGACCCATATCTGACACTTTGTGACAGTGTGAACAGCACTAATCGGATTTTTACGAAAGCCCACTCTCAGATGTTCTCTTAATCTGCTACTCAGCTACTCATCTGATATTTTTCAAAGTGACCTAAGTCAAAACGGTTTAATCACATTCCATGCAGAATTTAGGGTGAAATATGGCGCAGAACGTGGCAAATAAAATGCAAATAAAGAATGACTACTTATTAGTAGTAGAGCACACCACTAACCCATCACCAAAGTGAACAGTGGGCAGCTTTAAGCACCCGGGGAGCAGTGTGTGGGGACGGTGCCATGCTCAGAGCACCTCAGTGGTAACTTGGCAGCTGGTGGACTCAAACATGAAACCTTCTTCGGACCCAAATCTGCTTCCTTAATCACCAAGCAACCACTGCTCCAAAAAAACATCCTCCGGGGATCGAACCCCTGCTCTCTGCTTCCAAGGAAGGTTTGTTAACAGCTACACCGACGCACACAAATAATAGAGGAACGCAGACACCTTTGAAGGAGCTGGTCAGTGGAAAAAACAAATGTGTCACTCACTCTGTCCATGTGAGGTGAAGACTGGAGAGCTGGCATCTCTGGGCTTCTGCCATTAGGTGGATCAAACTGGGAGAGTGGCCTGCTAAGCAAAGGCATTGAAATATTGTTCATGTTCAAGGTCAATACAATAAACAGTTAAAGCTGTTTTATGATTTGCTTTTTGTTTCATGTCATGTTTACCAGCCTGCAGCGCAAAACAGCAGTATCTGGGTCACATCAGAGCCAAGAGCTCCAGATAAGACATGAAACACGGCTTTGAAGCCTAAAGATTTCTCTTTAAGATACAGTTGTTAATGCTGTGTGAATTGAACTTGAAGCTGAAGGTGTGACTCAGTCACACTGGTGCTGCTTTGATTAAGGTCTGTGCGTGGAGCGAGTATTTGCCCAGACTAGGCCTGGGATTAAGGGCTTCTCCTGTGGAATCCAGGGAAAACTGGGGTCTGATCCCTGCTACGTCCCTCTACAGAGCGTAGGTGGGCGCTGGAGGTGTTGGTGCGTGATAACCAGTGCGTGACAATCGGTGTGTGATAACCAGCAGGTCAGTGTGCGTGGAGAGTAAAGCCATGTATGACGTCAATGCATGTCAGTGATTATGACTGCACGTGTAGAAGGTTCCGCCCTCGACACTGCTGCCGGAGTTTTTAAAGACATCGTACTGGTCGCTTAAAGTGGCTCAAACACACACACACACACACACACACTGGTGCTCAGGACCATGTTTTTCTTAAGCACTAGTGTTATATGTCATAAGGCCCAGCTGTCTTTCAGCACACATCTGTGTTTTCAGAAACACAGAGTTGCGTGTAAGTGGAGGGGGAGTCTGTACGAGTGTCAGTCTCTGAAGCTTATTGAATTAGAGCGGGTGCGTGCCACCTAACTGTGCACATGTGGTCTTACAGGTGCTCCTCCGTCTGCATGTGCACTGTAGGTCTGACCGTCTGTGGTGCCACAGCGATGGAATGAGCAAAAGGAACGAAATGGTGGGAATTTAAGAAGAATGAAAAGCCAGATCAAAGAGATTCCCAAAGCTCCCAGAAATGCCTGTCTGTCTGCAGCACCCCGCCCCGCCCTGACAGAACCCACCACATGCCACAAGCTGTTTTTCAATCAATGGACTTCGAGTCTCTCCCCAAGACTGTGCCAGCGATACTGAGCTAAATGCTCTCTGACAGTGGTGGTCTGCGCTCCGTCCCACAGCAGATGCGTTTTCTCTCTCCTAGTTCGGCTGCCCTTCAGTGTTCAGAGGGAGGACCAAAACTGTCTCTGTTCATTACTGTGAGTAACCGCGGCTGAAGAGCCCCCCCCGAAGGAAGAAATAACAAGCAAATTGAACAAGTCAACAAATGGACATAAGGCCTCCACTTCAGGATCTGCTCCCAAAGCTCCAAGCAGGATGTTAACGTCACATTATTTTCAGTATGTGAAGAGCTAGTACTTTGTAGACTTTCAACAGGTTTCCTCCTCCCACCATGGGTTTATTGACTCTGTGGCTGTCGCTGCAGTTTTTCAGTGTCAAAGACAAGAAAACAAAAAAGGAAACTAATTGTAAATGTAGCTAATTGTAACAGAGAGAGGAAAACAAGGTAGTGGTTATAAGCAGAGGGAACAGAACTGTTATTAATGGAAAAATGGGGCACAGTTTTTCCTAATGAGAAGTACAAATTAATAGAAAAGGGTAATGTTTGAGATGATTATAGCAATTCCAAAGTTATTCTGCTTGGAAAACGTACAGAAAAATGTAATTTCAAGAGTCATTTTCAATGTGCCAAAGAAATGTGTTTTAGTTTGATCTTGTTAGCTAGGGGATCATATCATTTTATTCATTTTATTGAACATACTTTAAAGGCAATATTATATTTGTAAAGTTTTATATAATTTATAGTTAATATTATCGCAACAATGTAACGGATAAGTGGACGAAGATGGATGGATGGAAGGACAGTATTGCGCTTCCAAGTGACCAATTACGGTTCCCCAAGAGAATGAGAATGTATTGTTCTTGTTTTTCTGCATTAGGAGATTAGATTTTCACCAAACAATAATGTTGAGTGTCACTGCATTCAAAATGCAGGGAGGTAGTGAAGCTATTTGTCTTTGTACAAACACAATGCACCCTAAACTCTTAAAGGCATTGTTTAAAGGTTGCCTTTTTAGAATCTGAGCAGAAGAGTGTTATAAGAAGGTGCATAAATATAGACATGAATATACATTGACCAGTAATCTGCGAGGAAGCATTAACTACAGGCACATCATTCCGCAGACCTAAAGTGTGTCAGCAGCAGCGTTTGTATCAGCACTTAGCACTTATTACACCACCTTCATTTACTTAGAAGCTTTCAGACTCTTCTTCATGAGGGATTTATATCTGGATGTACTGCTGGCAAACTGCTCCTTCAAGGCTGGCCAACTGCTGGACGTATTAATCTTGATTTTAGAAGCCAGCTGAATTTACAGCAAAGCTGAAGTTCCAACACATCATTGGACGCTGAGTTTGAGAGGATTACGATTTCCTCTTAACTGTGTTCACAGAATTTATTTCTTCTGAAATGTGGATCACTTATATGTCGCAGTTCACAAGTCTTTTCAGCTGTCAAATCATCCTGCATAAAATGAAGTGATGTGGTTTGAGGATTGTGTCGTGTGTATACCAGCTGATTAACAGTTTGTCTAAAAGATATGACACAGGGAAACAGAAAGGGTAGATTGAGCAGTTAAAGTAGGTTACATTGGTTTTGTACATACCTCAGGCACAGAAGGTTGGAGCTGGATCTACTGGAAAAACAGGAAGGTCTTGAAGATCATCATGAAGAGATGGAGGAAGATGATCTACTGCGGTGATGCAGCCGAAGAAGCAGCTTACAAGGAGACAAAAAGAAAATCTTTATTCTTCAATGTGATAAAAATCAGTAACTGAAGTCGGACTCCCTACTAAATCCAGGAACTATTTCTTTCGTTCATTAAAATTTAATACAAAAATATCCAATTTCCCACAGCTAGTCTGTGAGTGATCGTCCTCATAGAAACAACTTTAAATAAGAGATGTATTTAAAATAACATGATTACATATGAAGTAACTAAAGGTTAAGTTAAGCTACTAGGTCATTTTAAGAACCAATGTAATTCTTAAATATAAATTATTGCAACAGTTTCCAGTAAATCTATAAAACACCTTCTATGTCAGAGTACACATTATCCAGGAAAGATTAACCTGTAGGACGTTGAGCTCATTACATGATATGTGGTGATGCAAATTGTTTCAGTCTGGTGCATAAATCATTTGGTTATAACGTCTTTTATTCAGTGAGCAAAGAAAACCAGAGTCATTACAGTAAACTGTTAATAAACTGTTAAAATGGTGGTACATTCAGACCACACACAGCTTTCTCTGTTTCGTTCTCTCCTCGTGCCCGCCCTGCTAAGGCACACTGTTGACATTTGTGTCCTTTTCAGGAACATCTGCTCTAAGAAAGTGGCTCACAATGCATGGCGACAAATTTGGAACACAACTTGGCCTTTGTTCTCATGCTCCTTGGGTTTGAATTGACACGTGGTCACAACAGAAAACAGACAAACTGCCCTGAGGCAGGACATGGCAGACATCAAGTGTATTAGTTACACATCCTAGGAAAAAAAAAAAACTGAAGAAACTTTTGTCTTGTGACATCACAGTGTGAAACGAGATTTAAAAAAAAAAACCTTCATGACTCAACGTGTGGTCACACACTGTAACACACACTTGTGTGATTTTAATGTCGGTGGGAGGCGCAATAATGAAGAAAGCATACATTTTTGTCAGCTCTGGAATAAATAATTTCCAAAAATACATTTTTTTAAGCATTTTTATATTGTTTCAGCAAAAAAGTCTTCAAATGGCTTAGTCGAAGCTGTAACATTGACCATGTTCTCCCTCACTGTTAAGAAGTTCAGACTGAAAAAAAAGCAGGAAAAGACTTTTTCTTTAGTTGCAGGGAGACACGAGGAGAATCCGTCAACAACTCAATCGTCTTTCCTCAGATGAAACTGTCTCCATGATTGTGGATTAGAGGCAGCACTGTTGATGAAAAAAGTAACAGTGGAAGATTGCATATCCTGGGTGGTGGTGAGGGGGAGATTGGACTTCACGCTCTCCAGCCGTCACACAGTGCTCACTGACAGTGCAGCGACCATTTTTCTACAGTGTAGTAATAATAAAAAAGATGACATCTCTGCTGGCCATGAAGTTATGTTGGGAGTTTTATGAGAAATTTAATCACTCATACGTACTAATGACTCAGCTCTAATATTGTTATTGTCCACAGTGAGTGGAGAAAAAAATCTCATCATATTTTTAAATTTGACTAAAGCTTTGGTATAGCAAAAATATAAGAAATATATTCAAGGAGAGAATATTACAAAATACTCTAATTCATTTTACTTTTCTTGGAATATTTACAGAGTATTAGAAATTAAACTATTTTTGCTGTCACTAATATTTTAAAATAGAAAATATTTTCCGTCCTAAGTGGTTTCATATGATATAATTCTCACAACACTCCTCACACTATAGAATAAGTTCACTCATCCCAGCCAAAAAAACGCCCTGTCATCTGGTAGAATTTCAGGTTGAATGGTCTGTAGAAGTCCCGCAGTCTCTGCACCACCTCAGGGTCAATGTTGGGATGGGTCCTGCCTTTGGTTTTTCCCAGGCAGTGGGGTTTACTGCTGCCCTCTGCCTTCTTGAGGCATGGGAAACCCTTGGTCTGGTTGAAATAAAAGTGTTTGTCTGTGATGATCCTCTTGAGTCCCAGGAAGTCCTGGACGCGGCCCAGCTCCCCTGCTGGGTCGCTGATGAGACGCTCGCCACTCACAAACAGTATCTGGCCCATGGGGAAGTATTGCAGCCAGTTGTCCAGGTGCTTGGCGTAGATGCCGATCTGGATGGCGCTCCAAGAGGTGTCGATGAGCCCCGTAGTCCTGTTTTTGAAGGTGAGGCTCTCAAAAGAAGGAATGTCCGGCTTCTTGGACAGTGTCTGTGTGTAGTCTGAGATAGCCCTGGTGACCGGGTCCCTCACCACCACAATCAACTTAGTGTCCCGGGACATGGCGGAGATCCTGGCTGGAGCCTCCCTGGTCACAAAGTAGCTGGGAGTCTTCTCCATGGTGATCTGACCCTCCAGGGTCTTGGGCATCAGCTCCCTTTAAAGAGAAAAAAAATATATAAGCAGGAGAGAAAAGAGGAAGAGAGATGTTTGTTTGAACTACACCTCTGACTCGCCTCCTCACCCAGCAACTGACACAGTTGTACAACTTCTCTTGTTACAATAAACATTGCGAGTGGATGAACTCAAGCTAAGTCATCAAGAAACTCTGAATTGAGTCATTCTAGAATAACACGGCTAACAGGCTGTTCAGACCAGTTTATTTATCCAATCTCTTTTAGGTGTGACCCAATGTTGACTTGCAGGTTGGGCCTGAGACTCGTCTCAGTGAGGAGGAGATATTCTATCAGACATGTTATTCAGCTGCTACATCAAGGCTTCTCTAATGGAGCCAGAGCCAGGTTTCCCCTGGGTCCATTTGAAAGAAGGTTTTCTTTGCTCTCCTATGTCGCAACAGGAAAAACATTGATCTCTATAACCACAGAGTAGTAGTGATGGCTATAAAATATTGATACTTGAGCCAAGAGACACACTCAGCATAACTGATGACCTTCCTCTCTCCTGTACAGGACCTCGGATGGTTCTCAGTTGATTTCATTAAAGGGTGATATGGTAAATAAACAGCAAATTACAGTGAAGAGACAGACGGGAAACTAATGACAATGAACTATGGAAAAAGGAGAAAATGACAGTGGTTTTTCATATAAATGACCCCATGACTTACAGTTTGACTCAACAACAATTTATATGATCATATATTATAATTATATATTATTATATATTCCATTTTGTACCAATCTTGTGCCTTGGTGGATTCAGAGGTTTTTTCTTCGTGATTTCTATTCTTTTGACATAATCAAATACTACGCATTCATTTCTTTAGTAAGAACACAACAAAAACAAGAACACAAGAGATATAAACTTTTTTTTAAAAATGTAATGTATTTTTAGGTAATATGGAACACACCCTTTGAGCATAAACACACACACACACACACACATATATACTGTATATACTGTGTGTATATATACACACATATATATACATATATACACACATATATATACATATATACATATATGTACATAATAAATGGCTTGACTATAGTAAGTGCCGATCCATCTGGACAGTGCCTATCCTTAATCTCCTCTTGGAAATGTTTTCCAATTGACTTATTCGAAAAATGCACACTAAACACACAGGAATGTCTAAAAGTGCTTCACTTGAATGAAATTCAATATTAGCGGTGAAAAATATATGTAAGCAAACGCTTTCCACGAGGCAAACCCTGACGTTACGACTTTTATAGGTTGAGCTTATTAAGCAAAAAAATTCCTCATCTCTGCTCGAGTCCCTTTTTGGCTGCAAACTCACACGGGGGATGGAAACAAGATAATCTGTTGGGCCATGCCATTTCTCCGCTTCCTATCCTCTTACTACGCCTCTCCTCTCCACACCCGCCTTCGGGACAGTGACTCAGAGCAAAGCGAGGTAAAAGCGGCTCATGAATGATTAACGTGGCCTCCCTCTACCATTTAGAACCTCCACAGAATACAGCTTTAAAATTCACCAAAGTACAGAATGCAGGCGTCAATTATTCATCTGTTCTGCTCTGCCTGGCTGCTGTGGTTTAAAGTAAAGACTGGCACAACAAAAAGTGCTCCAGACGGCTCCCAGAGCCAGAGGTCATCTGAAAACTGTACATTTCAATCTGTACTTTGAGGCTACTTTCACACTAAAGGTATCAGTGTTCAGGTCTGACTCTTTGCTGAGATGCATTGATTGGCCCACAATGTGTGGGATTGACACTGTGACAATAAAAAAAACAACATGTCAGAATCAGGAAACTGAGGTCCAAGCACAAGTTCATCTCTGCCAGTTTTCCACTCGGTTGCTCCAGAACTGACCGTGAGACCGATCTGAAAGCCACAAGTCAACACCACCAGGTCAGTGTCAGAGCACATTCACTTCTCTGTGGCTGAGCAGCCTGTGTGGATTATCACTGAGTGGGAAAGATCACAGGGTCAGTCCAAGATGAAACAGGGGGACACACAGGAAGTGGTGAAGTAAAAAGGCTGCACTGTGTGGACGTCAGCTGCCAACACCGACCTTCACCTGACCACACTGCACCTGTCTTTTACCTCAGTGGTTTTTATTGTCTTTGTATGTAATGCTGCCACTACACTGTACTCTCCCAGCCTGGGATCAATAAAGTATATCTATCTATCTATCAGTGTCTGTGACCTCTTCTACAGCTGCAGGAAAGGCTTGTGCTCTCATGTTAGCAGTGAGATCCAGTAGTGACAGAACTGAGGAACTACTTACACTCTGATTTGAATACAATGCAACTTCTCTGGTTTGGTGGCAACAACATGACAAGATTGTTTGATGAAACATAAATGAGACTGTGCTAAAGGAAGAATTCATATTTGATGATGTGTGAGTCGTGTGTTTCCTGCTTGATGGACAGACGGCAGTGGGACAGAGTGGAGGAACGGCGGTTTTATAAAAACCTGTGTGGAATCGTTTGCACAAAGTTACAAAGACAAAAGTGAAAATGGTTTAAATTGCTTCCCAAAATAAAACAAGAATTACCAAACCAAATGAAATTCATATTTGTTGAACATAAAAGAAATAGAAATGTATGAATGCTACTGACACACAGGCTTTAAACTGACAAACAATTCAAATGCAGATTTCAGTACTCAGAAACGAGCAGCGTCTAATCCTTATTTGGAGAGACTGATCCTCTGGTGGGCGCTTCTGTTATACCCCCCACCCTCCAAAGAAAACCAAATGTTTTATTCTTTTGGAATGTGGTGTTTGATAAATAATTTTATAGAAGTGCTGCAGAAGCACATCCATATCAAGCTC